TTTCCACTGTTAGAATTGTTGATGTTGACATAATTACCCAACTGGTTTGCTGTAATTTTGTATCATCTCAATCACTGTCATATCATCTGCTATTTGCACAATCCGTCTTCACTGTCATATGCCACTACAACGCTTGGTATGACTCACATTACTCACTTATCACTGCTAATTTCAATGCCACTTTGCACTAAAACTCACGGTGATATTTTTTGCCTTCATTTCTCAAGGTTTAACACTCTTTCTACTAATACTTGTTACTTATAATTCACTATTTTCGGTATCTCCTGTCACTCCTGCCTCGCGTCACCACTGATGATTTTCACTGTCGCTGTCACGGGATGCCAGCAGTGTCACGCGCCCATACCACCTCCCGCCACAAGATTTGGTCTCGAGAGCTAATGATGGAGAAACCGTGACACCGAAGCCTGTGGTAAAATGGCCAGAATTTTTTTGCGGTGCTGTTGGGGCCAAAGTCTCCTGTGGGCGAGAAAGGAGGGAAGTGTCATTTAAGAGAGACTATAATGTGAGATGATATTTAGGAAGGGAGGTTGTGAGATGCTGATGAGGGGAAAAGCTTTGTTATTCATACAGTGTTGGGAGAATATGGTTTTGATGATATGCTTGGAGAAATGCAGAGAGATTTTATGTGTTATGATATCTAAAATGCCGAGTAACAATGATTTCGTTTAATCAACATACCAGATATGTTTGATAAAGCCTTAAAATAATAGGCACTAATATACATATATATAGAAGGCGGTAATTCAATACGAGACAATTATAATCATATTCATAGGAATTATGTTTTATATTTTCAGGAATGAGGATCATTTTGAGGGAAAGTCAAACTGGAATGAATTTTATTATTAAGGGAAAAGGGGTATAATGTGAAAGAGATATCAATATCCACGCAACGTACGCAACAAACCTTGCATGCACAAACACCAGGAATTCGCAACAATACCGTGTCTCAGATCGTGGTGGATTTCTATAGCTAATTGGTTGATGTTCCTGAGGAGGCGAGGCGAGTTGTCCAGCAGGTCGCGCAGGACGTCCAGCTCGGCGAGTTCGATGTCCATCTTGACGTAGTCGATGACGCGGCCTTCGAGTCCCAGACGCCGGACGATGTTCTCGTAGCGGTCGACGGGGAACGTCTGAAGGAGGGAGACAAGGCGAGGAATTTTCGCTTCGTAAGGAATGGAGCAGAGATTCAGGTCACGCTACTTTTCTCGGAAACATCTTCGTCTCACACACAGAACACACTCTGTTCATCCAAGGGATTTAGGATTCTTCAAATACTACGAAAAAAAGGCAAAGAGAGAGAGAGAGAGAGAGAGAGAGAGAGAGAGAGAGAGAGAGAGAGAGAGAGAGAGAGAGAGAGAAAGAGAGAGAGACAGAGAGAAAGAGAGAAGGAGAGAGAGGGGGTACGGGATGAGACAGACAAATGGAAAGAGAGAGAGAGAGAGAGGGAGAAAGAGAGACAGATGGAGAGAAAGAGAGGCAGTGACAGAACCAGATCCCAAGCCAGAAAAAAAAGAGAGACACAGATGAAGAGAAAGAGATCACAGAGAGACAGAAACACAACCGGTCCTCATACCTTGGGAAAATTAAAGTCCAGGGGATCATTATTCATACCGATCCCTTTCTTTCCCTCGACGTCTGAGATGCCCAGCTTGAAGAACCTGACGTTGGGTGATCTCTGGTGGTCCTCCTTACCCATGGTGGGGTCGAAGGCGTACACCTGAGGCACACGGAAGAGATGTACGATTTTTTTTTTACAGAATAAATAAACCTGTGTCAAGATTTCTTTGATGATAGGTATGGACGTCACTGGAAGTTAGCGTAAGACAGAGGATATGTAGAGATAGATAGACAATCAGATAGATATGGATTTTTTGAGAATATCAACAATATGTTATTGAATTCAGATTAAGGAAAGCCTACGAAGATTAAGGAAAGCAAAGAATAAACAAGAATAGGAGACATAATAACACAAATAAATAAAAGAAAAAAAACGTGGAAACCATAATAATATTCAGTGCTTAAAACCAACATACGTATATACAATTCATTTGTCATTTTGAATATAAACAAAAATATGAGTATGATAAAGACACATGACACAAAGTTCCATAATGACATTCGACATCTAAAAAAAAATGAGTAAACAGAAAAAAATAGAACAAATGAATAAAAGTAAAGAACAGTAACGACAATAGGAAAAATCGTCTTCAAAAAACAGACAAATTAAATGCCTATTCCACTCACCTTACATCCCAGCCTTTCGACATCATCTTCAAAAGACCACTCGTTATTTATCCCGAAGGACAAGACAACGCACTTTCCTGCTTGGAGGCCAAACCTCTCGTCCATACACATCATTTTCTTTCCGTCTGCAGGAGCGCCGAGCCAACCACCCAGCTGCGCCTGCGTGAGAGATAGATGTGGCAGTGTAAATAGTCCGTGGGATTTTTTTTTTTTTACGCCAACTGTTGACACG